AGGAAAAAGAAAGAAACACCATTTTTCTCTACAAAACACGAGCACATTGTTGCGTGAATAATTTACACAGACAGTGTGTAATAGATCCGATTCCATACGTTCGCCACTCGAAGATGGAGAAGTCGCTGGAGAATTAGGATTCAATTTAGGAGCAAACATAGCGTAGGTATAGGCAGGATGTTCGCGAACCGAGAAGGATCAGTGCAAACGAGAACTTTAAAATCAATCCGGGAATTGAAAGATCTACGAAGCCAGGCATAGCTTTCCGCGCGAGTTCCTTCGACCAAAGGGGTAGAGATCATTCGATATTCACCGCGTCCAACGACCCAGACGCGCTCGGCTCGTCGGCGGCGGCGGAGAGCGCGCGCGCGCGCCTAATTGCAAAGTTGGCGAAAACAAGAAGTATCTGGCAAACACGGAACGAGTAAATACAGTAGGGTTCGTTTGTTTAAGAGACGGAGGAGTGGTGTGCCATCTCTGATTCTCCGGCATAATGGACGATCCCGGAGCAAGAAAGCGGGAGGGGTGCGAAGATGGGGAGAAGAAACAACCAAAGGTAGAAAGGTGTTCCTTCCTCGAGAGTAACGGAGAGAGGAGGGGAAAAAAAAGGAAAGGAGGAAGGCTCTTGTTTGCAGGTCATTATAGCATGTCAAAGGGGGAAGAAGATTTCGCTGCTTTTTGCCTAGCTGGCTGACCTCTCACTAATAAAACAGAGCTTGTTGGAAGGATATGTTCTGAAATAAAGCGCCTCTGGCATCATCAACCCTGAGCAGTGTTTGTTTCGTCTCGCTAATTAACGTTTGCTTGCACGGAATGACCACTGCACGAAGTGACTACGTTTCTTTTCTTTTTCCTCCCTTTATTTTCTCTTTATTCTTCCGCTCCTTTTCTCTCTCTCTCTCCCTTTCTTTTCTTTTTGTTATTTCCGAAATGCTGTTTGTAACGTCCTCTCGGTGACTCTCTCTCTCTCTCTCTCTCTGAAATCCCAATGGAAAGCCACCGGTTCTCCCTTTCACCGGTAATGCTCTCTCTCTCTCCGGATTTAATCCAGTTTTTAACGCATTAATTTTTGATCGTACGCTCGATTAGACCGTCGACTTGATTAAATTTTTTCTACCACGGATAGATATTAAAGCGGCGCGGTGCTCGCGCGGAACTTCATAAATCTGAACAAATGGAATTTGCGCACTGGTAGGAGGTAGGTCGGTCGGGCTTGCTTCCTCCTCCTGCCAAGCCACACCACCCCCGACCTCCGCCCCTTTTTGTTTACGGAGAAATATTAACGCGAGTTAGCTTTTCCGCGATACTTTCGCGAACGCTCGAGGAACTCTTTGATTAGCGATTCCGATTGCGGAACAGCGCAACGCCGCGTCGGATCTCTACGCTCTTTTGAATTGGCTGCCGTCCGTAAACCAATCATGAATTTATCATACTTCATCGTTCGCGGGGTAACGCGCACGAATATCATCCGAAAAGTATTTCCACGATATATCCAGTTATCTAGATAATCTAGCGTAGCCTCCTCTCTACAAACTCTAGCCACGCGCGTTTCCATCTCGTCACTGGAATTAACATTTTAATTAAGGACACGCGCACATTCGCTTCTGTTCGCGAATGTGCGCGGCACAAAACTCGTCGGCGATTTCAGAAAGTACCAAAAAAAAAAAAAAAAAAAAGACAGAAAGAGAAAGAGGGAGTTTAATCGAACGGTTTACCGAAGCTATTAGACATCGCAACGCTCATTAACGCACGCCACGTTTTAATTACCTCAACCTTGAACTTCGAATGGTAGGTCCCTGTGAAGTTTTACCAACATGAAACTTCATCGTATTTCGATAATGACAGAGTGTCATTCGATCGAATCCGGTGTGTGCATAGAACACGGTGCAGAGAAGAGAGAGGGAGGGGGGAGGAGAAAAAATTAATTACGCGAAACTTGTGGCGTGTGAGAGGTAGAGGAGACAGGCAGGCTGTTAATTACCACGAACAAAGGTATGTGTTTTGCTCGGCGGCCCGCCTAAGGGAATTATTCTGTAATTGTGACAAAGAGAATACGCAACACGCCGTTGTTTCGATTCACGTTGCTCAAAGCACACGCCGATTCCTGTGTGACTCGACCGTGTGCGGTTTTTGAGCGTTTGATTGGTTAATTAATAGAATCTGTTTCCGAATGCATTCCGCGACGAGCACCCTAACATTTAATATCAAAGCTCGAGCCACGAGCACGCCTCTCTCTCTCTCTCTCTCTCTCTTGTTACCACGCGCGTCACTAACCTTCTGTGTCGATGTTTATTAAAGCGGCTTGGAATTTTATTCGCGAATTAACAATCACGTCAGTCTAGTCTGCCGCGCGGCGCGGCGTTTGTCGTAAGATCACCAGGTATTTAACTAGAAATCTAACGTACAGGGAAAACGTTACGTAAATTATCGACAAGCATGTCATCCACGCACAGTTCAATGGAAATTACTTATCCGCGTGGATATTGTTACCGTTCGAACAATAAACGCTTCAAATGTATTGTATACTTATTTATTTGAACGGGTAATATCGACTTTTTCACCGTGTTAGCATAATTAATTCGAGCGAATAGAATACGAAACGCCGCGGCGGAAATTTATGTAGGTATGCTAATACAGCGCTTTTGCAATAAAATACCATCAACTTTGCACGCGGACAACTTTCTGTTTGTGTTACGGAAGCGGGCCACGATTAAGCCTGATATATTGCTATTTATATATCAGCAAACTCTAATCTAATAGCGTGCAAATATATCTTAAGACGATTCAGAGCATAAACCAACAACGTTATCGGCCAAACATGATAGAATTCCGTGTACACACAATCTTCTGGGCAAAGAAAGCCGAGCATTATTTCAGGATTATTAACGACCCGTGAGTTGCCATCGGAATATTCTGCGTATCCCCCGCGATCTGCGATATACACGGTGACTTATAATTGCATGCTCAAAAACCCGCCACGAATATACATATATATATATGAAACAAACGATAAAAGAACAAGTGACGCAAAAATATTCACTTCGATAACGAGTTACGACTGATCAGAAAAAAACCCCCCTGATAATATCTCGTACTTTGCAAAACAAAGTTCAAAAAAGATTTATCTGTCGTCCTATTATTACACTTCCGCTTTCGAAATCACGGAGAAAACAAATTGGAAAAAAAATTCAACGTTGAAAAAAATCGTTCGAACGTCGCTTCGAAATTTCCTTCAATTCGTTACACCTTCGGAAAGCGCTCCGAAGTATTGACACGCAATTAAGATTCATTCGGTGCACCGTGGAGTCCCGTAAGTTTTTGATTTATTGCAAAAGCGAGGGAAACTCCGGCGAGAGGGGGAGAGAGAAAAAAAAACGGTGTAGCGAGAACGGTTGATTAACACGTCCTGAACGTTGTTCATTACTTATACCGAACGTCTCTAACGAGATGTTATTGATCGTGAAGTTGGAACAGTTAATTGTCATTCACTTTGCCGGAACTTTAAATGAAGCTTCAGTCCAAGACGTGTCCATTGTTTTTGAGCATGAAACTCCGGGGTATCAGTGTCGGTTATCGCGAGCCTCGCATCGAGATAAGTTTCTACACGGGACGGGTTGCAAAGGAGAGGCAAACCGCTACAACGCGGTCTCCTAGAGAGCAGAGAGTGGAACTCGATAATTATGGCATCGTCGACGAAACGAATTATCTTTAGGCGTTTTCTTGACAGTGCTGTTCCATTGGAAACCGGCGAACGGCTCGTTAAGAAAGTTTTCCTTTCCGCGTCGCGTAGAAACCGAGGCAGTGTATTCAATTGTGCCCTGTCCTTGTGTCCATTCTACAGTGAATGAACTTTGCACCGTTCATTCTCGCCTACATCTTCGTTTCTCGTCAGATCGTCTTATGTCACCGTGTACATATCAGGCTGTATTACAACGTTAAGTCACTTTCGAGAAACTGATCCTGCCCGTTTGTTCAGCTATGATAATTTATTCGAGTAGAACTATCGTAGAATGACGTTTCGGAAATAACTGCTGAGCAATGCTTAGCAAGTTTTTCACACGGAGATTTTAAAAAACCGATGTCCGTACTATGTACCAATAAGGTGACATTACTTACTGGTCGGTTTTCTTATCTGATTAGGTTAGCACGTGGAATCAGACAGTCGTGTGTAAGCATTCTACTTGGACCTTGACCCTGTCTCAAATGCTGCCCGGACGATAAAATACATTAGCTTATCGGAATTTTGAAATAATTGTGAAATATAACGAAACGAAAAATTTTGTACGATTTCGGTAATGGTAGTAAATTTTTTCGAATATAGAGTGGTTTCAACTGTGTTCCTCGTTTACACGTAACCTTGTCCGTTGCCATATATGGACTGGGTCGAAATAAAAACATCGCAAGACGTATATAGTCTTACAGTAGCAGAAATGTAAACACAAGGGTCGTTTGTTTTCACGTAAGGAAGGTGTTCTATCGTCGCGGTTGGAAACGTTTAACTTTCGAAACGTTAAAATTCTATACGTGGAAAGTTCATTAACTACAGATGACACGGGAGGTTGTATGAAACGAGCTGTAGAAAAGCCACAGTCACCATATACATACTACCGTCTGCCCTGTGCATCGATTATGACACGTGATAGAACGACACAGAGGGATACGTGCTAAAACGAGAAGAAGAATGCATCGTAGCTTTGGTGGGGATCCACAGCTGCGCTCAATCTAAAGCGAAACGCGCATGCGCCTTTCTTCGATAGTTACATCGGAGTGTCTGGAGAGGTCCCTGATAATTTCGTGCGATCGTGTTTTTTCCTTCTCGTCGATTTCCTTCCCTTTTTCCACGATTCTACAGTTCTGTACAGTTCGAACGAGCATCGAGAAAGAACCTCCGAAGTTGTGAATTTGTGAGCTGACACAGAATGGAACCGTAGGTCGTGGCCAGAGAAACGAAGCGTGTTTACCAGATACGTGTATATACGAGTGCAGGAAAAGTAACTCACGGCTTGTCCGGCTGTGATTGGCGCATCATCATCTCGGCCTTTTGAATCTCCTCGGCCCTCGTGACGCTTTTCGTCCTCCTTAACCTCACCCTAGTGTCGTTTTCGTGTTCCAACATCATGTCGTTTTCTTCTGCTCAGAGGGAAACGAGCACTACGCACACAGCAGCACACGGACACGCAAACGTGACACACAAGCCGGCACACGGTTCGCGCTCACACCACGAGAAAAGAAATCGAACGTTACTACTGCGGGGGGGAACTGTGTGTGACCGAAACCGAACAACGTTCACTTTCACCGAACAAATCGTCAAACGTGATGGAGGGATTTACAGATCGAACCGTAAGATCCCGCTACTTTACACGATACTTCTCTCGTCACCTGTCCCCACTGTCACGACTCGACCGGTATACGATCCTCCAATCGTTCCCTAGCCTGATCTGACTATAGAAAAGAGAGAGACGATCGTGTTTACGAGCAGACAGCCGCGGCGATACTACCGGCTTTCATCGGTCACCGTCTCCTCAACCGGCTCTGTGTGTTTATCTCCGCGTTTCTTCTAGATAACGACATCGTTGCCAACCACAGCACGCATTACATGAGGTCACTTCGCGATCACGTTCGTACGGAGCGTATATTTTGGTCACAGAGGGCGCGTGTGTGTTTTGCTTTCTTTTGGCGCGTTGTGCAAGCCCGGCCCCGTGTCGTTACGATCACACTTGGCAACATGCTGAAACTCGAGTGCTCTGACCAAAAAAAAAAAAAAAAAAAAAACAAACAAAAAAAGCCATTCGAACGCTTCTTCTTCTGCAGTTCTCCCCGTGTTAACCGAATCGTTTTTATTTACAACTCTGTTAGTAATTTTCGCGTGTGATTCAACTGACGAAATACCGTCATATATACCAAATAAGGAATACGACGAAGAATTTTTTCGTATCGTATGAATCACGTCAACCAGCTATGACTAATCAACGAGTAAACGAGGCTGTCTTTAATTTCTCTACCAACTGTCGCCGTTTCCGTGGAAAAAAAGTACGTTAAACACACGAGAGACAGATATACCGGGAATTACAAACTGTAAAATTCAACCGTGTCGCGATACATTCACCATTCGAAGATACACGCACAGCCCGCAAATGGACCGTGCCGGACATGTTTATGCTCGTGTCAACGGTAGAATAAAATCAGGATCGTTCTTCTCGAAAGTTAGACAGCCTGGAAAAACTATCGCACGCTTTTTACTCGCCTCGTCACGAACAATTACCGCTTCGTCAATTGTGTCACGATTCATTAAACAAGCTGTGTAATTCTGCCCTTCCCCCGGACTGTGACGCGTAATTTAACTTCTCCAAGGTTGTAACTTTAAACGCAAACGCGCTCCAACAGTTTCACAAAGTGTTCCTCTCCTTTCTTCCGCGAGTTTTTCCCACCGCCGTCTTCCTCCTTTTACACTTTGTGAAAAGAAGCTGCTGGCCGGCCGGCTGCGCTCGTAATATTTAAGACGGCCCAAGTTCACGCGCGTAATTTACGTAATTGCTCGTAATCTTCGCGGGAGATCCCGGGGATTTCTTTTCTCTTTTTTCGAACGGCGCCAGCGGAGAGGATGCGCGCGCGCACATAACCTGTTCATTTTTAGGGCGGTTCGAATAACACCAGTGGATAACAGTACGCAATTAAAATGGATAATTACCGCGTATCGTAATCCGGCTTTACACGGTTGAAACTTCGTACTTTACACTGGTAGTTACAAATTTGATGGCACTTTTGCCCCCGGTGGCCCGCAATAAAACGTAAATTCCCTCACCTGCGTTCTCACGATACGAGCAAGAAAAGGCAATGACAGATCGTTTCGCGTCAGGGTTTTTTGCTCGTGAAAATTAATACAGCCGGATCGTAAAGTGTTTTTCGCAAATATTTAAACAGGTTGAATACGTTTAAATGAAATGAATAACCGAGCAACCTACACGGTTGCTACCAGGAACCGCTGCCTGCGGTCATGTTACTACCTTTGCCTACACTAAAAACAGAATTACACGATCAAAGTGATATCGGTAGCCGATGCAGATTCTTTCACACGTACAACCATGCGAAACGTTAACCTACCGCAAACTGTTTTTTCTCCTTTTTTTCTTTTTTCATTCGTTCGTAACGGATGATGCGCTGTACAGTACGTAACGATCTTACCGATCATCTTCGTTAAGTTCATTTTGTCACGTGATTATGCACATTCGATGCACTATTTTTTGCCGTATATTTATTTTTATCAGCTGTGTCGATTGACTCGGTTAAATTATGTAACAATGCGTTTTTCCTCCTTCTTTAATTAGCGATATAATTTTTCTTATTTTGTAAGATCGTGATCTACCTTTCGCATAAAAATCATCATTCTTTTTATCGAAATAGTTTTCGTTACACTTATTATTCTTCTTTTCGACTGCTCAGATTACTTTCTCATTTCGTGTTAGGCTAATGAAAGTGAAATTAATTGGGAATTGATTGCAAAAGAATTCGTACAGTATACTATTCTAAAAATCCTACGAAAACGTTCGTTCTATTCCAACTCGTTTGGTTACTAATACCCACACTTCAAAACGCAAGTTATCCTTCTCGTTAACACTCCATATTTCTCCCCCGCGATTGCCCGAAAATCATCAGCGATAATTTACTCCCGGCTGGCTCTTCCACGTGGTAATTATCCTGTCAAAATATCCATTAAGACTTGGGATGTTGCGAGCTTTGCTTTTCGAGTTTGCCGACTGCGGAAGTTCGATTCGGTTTGTCGGGTAACACGTTGCCGCGGAAACCAGAAACTCCCGGCGAACGGCCGAGAAGTTTCGGGGTAAATAAACCGGCGGCCAAACACGTGAGACAATTTCGCGTGTCAATTACGGCGACTCTTCGAATCTTTAGCCGTGGAGTTTGTGAGCGGGATCGTCATACGAGAAAAGACGCGGCAGCGGGAAGGGAGGGAGGAGAGCAGAGAAACGCACACGTAGAAGAAAAGCTAATTAAAGTGGCGTATTCGCGCGCGGGAGCCCGCAAAGAGCCACGGCAAACGTACAGGAAATCCGCCCCTTTAAACACCGCGCTAATGCCACGATGCATCCACTTCCTACGATTCACAATTAAGCGTGTCTCTTGACGAGCATCGTCGCGAAATGCTATCAAGCTCGTTACTAATTATCTTCAGCCACGATGTATCAAAGCCCGTGAAGCGAAACCGGGGCTGAATGTAACGACGCGCCGCCGTCGCCAACTGTAACAACGTTTCCCCTTGTTACATCACACTTTCATTCGAAATAAATGCACGCATTTTAACGCCAAACTTCAACTTTTGCATACGTAGCTGAGCGAATTTCTTTTTTTTTTTTTTTCAAAGGAATTCGCAAATTTTGGGATAGTGAAATTTTCTATTGTGTAAATGTGAGAAGGACGGGGGGCAATTTCGGGTAATAAATCGTGTATCTTCACTCGGTCGAGTTCTTTATTTAATTGCTGCGTACGTACAACTGTGATTATATAGATATTCTTAATTATGGTTATATAGAGAATGTTAACACGTTGCCAACCGATCGGGAAAATCTAGCATGTTCTGCTGCGTTACTCGTAACGAATGGTATTTGATTCTGGTGTGTTCTACGAAATTCTTCAATTTCTCTAGAAATCTTTTCGCCAATCTTGCAAATTAATTTAATTGCAATTCTTCGGTTGGCAATATGTTAAGATAGCAACACCGTGAATATAAACACACTTAATTCTACTCTTCCATTTCCAATGCTACTCTCTCTATTTTAGTATCATCCTGTTCAATCAGAAACTGTGCGTTCGACACTAAATTACAGTTAACACACCTACCTCACAACCTCTATCAATTTCAAACAAAACCGTACAGAATAGAAATTCCAAAGGAACAACACCCCCTGAAAAAAAGATTGTAAATAAAACGTTGCAACAAAAAGAATTCGACGAAGAGTTACTCCATGGTACACGTTCGACTCCATTGATCAGGCCAAGAGAACGCAATCTAGTTCACTTGGTGAAACCGATCCTGCGTATGCCGGGCCATCCACAGCAAATTTAGCCGGCGTTTTAGAACAAGCGTTCCCGCCAGTACGTTGGCACGTACGAACAGTACGAAGCAAAGTCTATATTCATTCTCCGCTTCGTGTCGTTTTCCACCTAGTACACCCTGCGAACGTGTACACGTTCCGTGTAGTCATTGCCTTTAGGAAAAGGAAGGGAGGGCCAAGGGTAAAGCAGAGACGGAGGAAAAGCCGTAGCAGTCGTTTACGAACTCCCTTTACGGCCAACCACGGATATTACCGAACACGCTTGCAAGCACGTTACTCTACATACGCAGTTACACGTCGACAGGATTCTTCCCATGGACATCTGCCGACTCAGCGCGACGAGTTTGTAGGATTCGTCGCGACGCTTATGCTCGCAAGAACCCTTTTACCGGCCACTTTACACCAACCACGGGATCTAATATCTCGGGGATGGTGTGTGCCCGATTTAAAGGGGGAAAAAAAAAGGAGAAAAAAATACTCCCGTCACGTAGGCGACTGCAATAAAAAGGGACACGTAAAAAGACGGGAAATGGGGGAATTCTGAAAATTGAGCGGCGAGAAAAAGCGAGTGGAAAAAGCGTAGTTACACGTAGTGAACGCGCAGCCTCCGCGAAACCGCGGACAGTCGATTAAACGATACGAGGGTACGCTTCTCTCCCTGTCCCATGGGAGAGCAAGCGACACGTTTTAAATTGCACCACGAGTTTCTGCTCCTGTGAGCCTTGAATCACCAGAGATAGAGAGAGCGGGAAAAATTCTTTCGAAAGGACGGTACGTTTGGTAACCTTCTACTGGTATCAAGAGGTTAGATGTTTTTCATTGAATCGTTTTGAAGGAAACGTCGTCGACGTTGCGTTGGAAGCTTGTGATATTCGATGGCCAACGACTTCCGGTACAGGCTACCGAGAAACGCGTTACGCGTTTCCTGGGACGTGAGCGCGTTATCTAGCCACTAAGCGGTTCGTTAAACGGATTTCACGAGCGTCTAGAGTGGAGCTTCTTCAGGAACGATCGCGACCGTTTACAACCGATGATCTCGCGTGATTAAACGTCACACGTGTACCTCTAACGTGGAGAAATAAAAGTGGAGAACGTAGCTTGGTTGGACTGTTACCGATAAGATCTCGACGTGTACGTAACGGTGCAGCAGCGATCACGAGGAAAAATGTCGCGATAAAAGCAACCCTTTCGGCGAAATTATTAGGCTGTTGCATATGAAGTGGCTGATTTCTCGAGCAAGTGAGATTTTTCGGAATTTTATTTTTATACGGGCTACCAGATAGCGTGGATCAATTCGAAGCTTGAAATTAATGGAAAATAAATTGGCATAAAGTGTACTGAAAAAACAAAGATCAACACCTCGATCATTTCCATCTGCAACACTCCGATAACGTCGTCTC